ACGGAAATAATTTGTATTTGCCAGACTCGTTCATCATAATGACATTGAAAGCAATTTTGCTGAAGAATCTAAAAATTTAGTTAGATATAGAATTGAAAAATAATTTTATTGGACTATCAAAACAATTAGATAGGACACCAAAATTGATTACTAGAATATCAAAACATTTTGCAGTGTCTCTTATCATGCTTAAGATTCCTGCAAAATTATTTTAATGGTCCAGCAACATTATTTCCAGATCTAGCCAAATTTTTAGATTTTTCAGCAAAATTGCTCTTTCAGTGAACACGTTAAAAAAATCTAATTAAAAATTATACATTAGATAATATAAACAATAAAGATTACATTACATTTAGATAATATAAACCACGAAAGTGGTTATACAAGCAGATTCAATGATTTGTCAGAAATCAAATTCAACTTCTGTTGAAATAAGAGATGGGATTCGGATGAACATTATCTTGCGACAGAGAAGATGTCTAACATGTTCTTCGAATGACTCTCGGAATTAACAGCGGCGGTTTCCTGCAAGATTACATCGAGGTGGCGACGATCTGTCTATTTCCTCCCTGGTGTGATCTAGTATAGCTGGCATCGTTCCTATGTAATGAAAATTATCCTCGCCTAATATGTATAACATATGTATTTTGCTTCCAAATAAAAGACGCGATATTGAAAATACATCAGATAATTCCATAATATATAGAATATTAATCGCAGAAATTTCAACTATAATTTAATGTAATTATCGTAAAAGATTAAAATTAAAATTATCTTGACGCATCAAAATTTACATATTTAAAACTTCGACAGATCCAAAGAGCGAATAGTTAACTGTCGTAATAGATTACAACTGATAAAAATAAACATCACAATAAGTTGCATAGAAATGACAAACCGCAATAAAGAAAAAGAACGCAGACGCAGGTTCTTATGATCGAATCACGGAGCCGGGTAATGTGATATTTACATATATGCAAAAAGTTTTATAAGTATGGTGATCGATGCTAGTGATCGATACATTGAAAGAGGTCGAGAAAATTTTAAATTTTATTCTGTGAAACAAGGTTAATCTTTTTCCTAGCAACGCCTTTTTTATAAGACCTAGATTTTTATAAGACGCCTTTTTTTTAGTCCGAAATATGATATAAGAAATAAAACGCTGATATAAGACTTCCCAGCGTTGTTTTTCATGTTACTTATTATTTTTAACTTTTAGCCTAAAAATATTATATTTAAAAAATAACGACTATTATAAATAGCGAAATACATTATAATTATATTTTACTAATATTATATTAATCTTTTGTAATCATTTCAAAATCTAAAAAGATTCTTATATAATTTAGTAATAATCAATAGAAACAGTTCATTAAATTTAACCGTGAAGATTTAAAATTAAAAGTATTGAAAATCTAATCCATGTTTTTAATCAAATAAAACTATTTGATAATCCACGAATGGATATATACGAGAAATAGGAAAACTCCGTTTTTTAACATTTCTTATAGAATATCCGGAGCATGTAACGAGCAAGGTAAATTCGCTCGATGGCGCATTGCACAAGTCGTGTTCCTATAAGTGGAAAACGGTAGCTGTATTCCGTCCGTTCAGAATTCGAGATGATAACGTTAAGTGTCCTAATTACGTCCCACGCGGCTATTACCCTCCGCCGTATTTTTTTTCCTTTCCCAATTATTGTACAGAAGAGAGACCTGGCGAGATCTCTCTTCGGAGGGGATTTCCGAAACTGCAATTACAGAAGAAGTTGGCGACGATCATCCGTACCCCCGACGTTTAATTAGAATTTTATTAACACAGAAGAGAAACAAGCATTTATGTGTTCATTTCCCCTGAGAGTTTCACGATTCCGTTAGAAAAGATTCGAGAGATTATGCAGAAAAAAATTCCATATTCCTTACGATTTGCGACGAATGAGATTTGAACGTGTCCAGAATTTTTTATAGTATATGCAATTTCAAAACATTGTTAATGAGGATAAAAAGATGACTTTTCACGAATAAATCCAGTCCTGCACGCTTTACAAAAGTATCAAGAAATTTTCTGAGAGAATTACTGCAAGCGTCGACGACGTGAATATTCTGCGTTAGTGAGAATTGATATACGTTATCTGTGGTCTTGCATGACAGCTTTATGTGATGCATAAAATGTGCTCACACAACGCGAACAGGGATGTAACTCTTTCGTAACTGAACTTCCCTATACGGAAATTGTTTATATACATACACACACACACATAATACATATGAAATGAATTAAATAAAATAAAAAGCACTTAATGTATAATTAAAATATTTTGTGAAAAAGCAAAGTCAATTTTACAGTTAATCTGATTATCATAGTCAAATTGTTGTAACTATTTAATAATCTATAAACTGGTATATTTTTATTGCTAAATTCTTATAATAAATATATTTGAATTAATAATTTATATTTATATATATATATATATAATGTCCGCGTTTTTAATTCTATTATATTTAAAAGACAAAAATATTGATGCCATTGATGCATGCACCGAACAAAAAATCGGACATACAATCAAATTTTGTATCCTTTTCTTCAATACAAATATCAAATTCTCGATATTTATTCATAAATATCAAGATATATGGAAGCAACTGAAAAGCAAAAACAAGTTAGCTATTATTTTGTCATTACAGAATGAACCGAATTTCACTAATAATTTCAATTACTCTATTCACTCTCGAGTCACACAAGTATCTACTAATGTTGCCTTTTCTTGCGCCAATTTTTGCCGATTGGCAATCTAGAGACTCGCGACTAGACTTTCGCTCAGCGACAACAATTATACAGTTTTTTGCTATTAATATATCGAAGGTCGATGGCTGTAATTTACGCGTGTCATACGCGGCTTTCTACTTTCCATTACTGGCTTACGAGAATCGACCGTCCTTAGGAGGCTGATTGCGGGTGAATATGGATTTTTTTTTTTCGATAGGTCGCTGCTGAAACCATATGCGTCTAGATAGTTACCACTAGGTTGATGTATCTCTGTGCACGGTGCACACACGTACGTACGTACAACGCAGGCTGGTTACTCGTTCGCTTTTGCGTTACGCAAGAACCACGCCTAAGTCCGGAGCTGGTCTCAACTGTCTTGCTTTGCTACTGCGGCTGTAGCTGCGATCCGAGAAGTCGGGCACGGCGATCGAGAGTTAGAATTCAAGTTTTTGAGGAAAAAGTCAAATGTCACGAGTATTTGCGTGCAGATAAAATGATAGAAGGTAAATTGTATCGCAAAAACTTACCAATTGTTCAAGAACTTTTTATCTTTTCTCACTCTTTCTGTTTCTCCTTTTAATTCCGTTAAATTACGGCACAAGAATAACGAGAAGGAAAGGAAGGTTTGATTGTAATCGTTCATGTCGAAGGCCACGGAAAAATTCCGATATGCCATAAGAAGCTTCGTTACGCGGCTTTCTTAGCACTGCGCGTTTTTCGCTCCTGATCTGTAACGAGACACCGGTAGCGGCATTTTCACTGCGTTCACTCTTCAAGGAGATCGCTCACCTTGACCATTACCACGATATTAATCGTGAAAATGCTTTTTACACTTTATGTATTTTTAAATTATTCTTTTGTTAAATAACGATATGTTGAAAAATATATTTAAGTATGCTAAAAATTTATTTTATAGAAAATTTGTAAAATTTATTTTAGCGCTAATGATATAATTAATTTTAAATGTGTTGGGAAGCAAGAGAAATATATTATTAAATATAATATAATATTTAAAAAATTTATGAAAATTAAATTATTAATAAAATTATTCTACAAAGAATTAAAATATATATTTATTAAATTCTTCTGTTTAATTTGACATACGTTTCATTAACAAAATGTGTCATATCTATATTTTAAAAAAGATTCGCTTTTAATTTAAAAAATTCCCATTAAATTTCAAGACTTATAGAAAATTAAATTCTGTTAAGAATTTCGAGAGGTTCTCTAATGAAAATCCATCGATGCAACTCAATTGCATGGATATTACCCGCTTAAAATGTAAAAAAAGAACTATTGTCATTCACTGCAACTAACGAGGCGAATTGGCTTTACAAAACTGTCAAGATCGTTTTGAATTTTGCAGCCAGCAAAATCCAATCGTGCTCACCATGCGCGAATCCAAGCTCGTATCACCGCAAATGTACATGTAAAAGGATTCTGCAATGTTATTATATACAGCGATACAGCGTTTTGCGATTCGTATTTTGGAAACGCATTCAATTCTGACCGCTTGATTTTAACATATCTTTATTGTGAATATTTTTGAAAAAGAAATGGCTACAATCGTACATGATATTTTGTATAGCACACACACGCGCGCATATATAATGTAAATTTTATTGAAAAGGTTTTAGAATATGAGCGCCAGGAGATGCACTTATAAGAATATTTGCGAAATAAAACTATTTCTCTCAAAATATTATTTAAATCTAAACGCAATTTACATAATAAACATGTATCATTATCATAACGCAAACTAATAAAACAAATTTAATTTCACACTGTTTGTTAAAGAGCGGCAAATATGTGTTATAAAATAATAAAAACATATGTGATTCAATCATATTGATGTTCTCGGATAGAATGTATTTCTCAAACTAAACCTATACAAACTTATTTCGATCCAAGAATCAATACGTGTTCAAAGTTTGCCACATCTCAGAAACTCTATATACCAGGAACGTATACATTACATAGAACATAATCACAACTTATAATTGCATCTCTATATTCTAGAATTTCTAATACATTTCGGAAGGTGTTCTGATGATTAAATAAAAAAGACAGACATTCAAAGTATAAAATGCCAATTTCACGTTTCCTTTCACATACATCCTTTTCTTATTATCTTACGAGTTTAAATAATTAATATAAAAGTTAATTATAATTATTTCATGCCTAAATTAATTAACATATTTATACAATAATATTATTAGTTATGGTATAGAAAAATTCCAAAAACATTTTGATAGAGAAATGAAAATTAGATATAAATGACCAAATAATCATGCGGCATGCAGAAAGTCGATGGAGTTACGTAGTCACACGCATGGTTTGTTACGAGAAAATCCTTATAGTTACTTCACTTGTAGTAACACCACGCGAGGCGGCGGAAGTCGAGCCGAGGAATTCATGCGGTCGGTCGTACAACACTGATCGAGGTCGGGATGCATTTATACCTAAAAAAATAAAAGACATATGTGCATACACGAGATTTCACTAGTGTCCAGCCGGCTTAGTTTCCTGGCTTTCCCCACGAAATATTCGCTCTCACGCACAATCGTCGCAGACGGGCCTCTTAATTCGCTTTGTATTTCGAAATGCGCATATACGTATCCTAAAACGTGTCCTAAATCTTTTAAATTTCTCCATTATTCAAACATATATTTTAATAACTTTTAAAACTTTGTATCGTACGTAGTTCCAAATATTGTACATTTACAGTATCGAAATCCGAAACCTGAAATTACATGGATTTCAATAACTTTCAATCTTTTATGTTAAATTGAGTGCAATTTGTACTTTTGTGGACAAATTACTGTAGAGATTACTTTTATATATAATAAAACAGTCTTTAAATCGTTGCATAAAATCGGGCGAGCTAGCAAATAAAACATTTGCATTTATGCGGCGTGCACATAACGCGTATTACATAAAAGCGTGTATGTCGACCACAAGTGAAATCGGACTGAATGCTATAAAGCGGAAATCAAAGTTCAATAACTTCATTATTAGCGAACGCGCGCGATTACCAACAAATTCCTCAACGCCGCGCCGTGTGAAAATTGGATGCAAACCATATGTAACGTCGTGTTATTTCAGCATTAATCGAAATACATATTTTTCAATATTTTTTTTAAATAAAAAAACATAAATAAATAAAGAGCTTCTCTTCATCTTTTATCCACATAAAATGCGTTTGATGTAAAACTCACATTGCTATGTAAAACAAGCCGCGCTCGAGCGATAATCCGGTAAACAAAATTTTCAATGAACACAGTTTATCCCCATCACGTTTTCTATCGGACCGATAATCTCCTTCGCCATTCCCGCTATCTACTTCCATGTAAATACATTCGCAATAAGCTTATCGGAGTCGCACTCGATTAACACTCCGTGTAGATTGATGTCGGATTTCGATGGAAATTCAGATTTACGAAAATCGCACCTTTCTCACATCGGGGATAAACATGGAGGACCGTGTATATTTCCGATTCATTGCGATAGTTTCGGTGACGAAACGATAGTACGCTGCCAGCGTTATTTCGAGCCTTTTCATTGGCTCCATCGATTCGCGAGAACGCGGAATCCATTCATACATGGATCCAACAACAGACTTCTCTCGTCGTACATGGACGTTTCACGGTACTGTGAATACTGTGATTGTGCCAGCTCTATTACATATCAAATGCAGACTTGATCGCGAGTTATCTGTATTTTTCGTGAATTTTCATATTCACGGGAAAGTTAATCTGATTACAACGTGAGGATTTTCACGGTCTGATCATCACATTATTAGTTCAATCGGGCATGCTGTAAACACCAGGAATTTAATTACGCACACGTGGAGCGAATACTCTCAATAAGGGTCTCTGCGATCTGCTTTTAAGCGTTGTTTATTAAAATTTCGTTAATTCATCGATTATCATAATGGCTAATTTGATTAATATTTGTATACAAAATTGTACATACAGTTTGAAAGTCGAAGGATATACAATATAAATGTACAAATTTTGCTATTTAATAAATATATGATTTATTAAGTTTAATTGAACTAAATCAATTTAATTGAACTAAATGGAGTTTCTATTGTACAAATTGATATTTTATAAATATTTATAAATATACGATCAATTATTCCAAATAACGTTTCTATAAAATAATATCGTTTGCAAAACATTTTTTCCTTACCAACGTAATGGCCGAATTTTTAAGGCATCTAAATAATAAAAAGATAACTATCGTCGATAGCTTTACTGCTGCTATTGCAGAAATATTGTGCTCTGAACAACAGAAAAGCGTGAATTGGTATCCGAGGCTAAAGCCTTTCAAAAATGCACAGCGCAATATACGCTAGAAATTCGACTCCAAAAATCCACGATTCAGATGCAGTAATCCCCTGAATTCGAGAAATCGTACTTAATTCCAGTTTTATCTTACTTATTTACTGCGGCATGCGAGTAGGGAACATCAATTATATTTGCACGATATTGGTTTTTCAATCGATTTTCGACAAATTCATTTCTGACATGTTCAAAGAACGCAGTGTTAAAGTATTTTCGTTATTTAAATTTAATATATCAGTATTCTAATATCACATATCCTCATTAATTATGTTATGATTAATTATGTAATAAATAATAATCTCATTGATATAATACGTCAATAAATTTATTCCACCGAAATGATGATAATAATAATTGTTAGGAATTATGCTCATTTAAGTTATATTTATAACTATAAAATTAACACTTTTGACAGAAAAAGATTGCATCCGCATCCACTTTTCCTCCTCTTTTGCATCATCATTATCACGATAAGGCAGTTGTTACCATTTTAATCGTGAAGAGTCCGCACCTTTTTTATCTACCTCTTGTATCTCAACTGGTCAGAGAAGAAAGACCTTTTCGGCTTTGCGGGTCGGCGGAAGAAACGTGTAACAAAAACACCGGATGAGTCTCGGGAGAAAAAAAAAGAGAGAAAGAGAACGGGAAACCACAAGAAGTGTGGAAGAAAGAAAGGTGCGAGCTAGGGTCCTGCCGGCAGCCTTGCCATTGAATTAGAATTTCCGAGTCGTTAATTTCCGTCGGCTCCGTAGAGAGGAAAGGATGAAAGGATACGAAAGGGATTCTCCAAGGGAGAAAGACGGAAATGAATAAAGGGATAGAAAGAGCGGGCATCAAATAGCAAATGCGGACGAAAGAGGGTGGCAGACACCGATAGATTTTTAGAAGGGAAAGGGGATACGAGTTCTCTCTGAGAGAAGCGGAGAATTGGGGTTTCCTTTTTTTTTTTCTATCATTTTCCGCAGAGACGTTGGGATAATTTCTTCTCCGGGCTACTTTATCCACGCTCGATTAACTCCTCTTCGAAAGAATCCGGTCGCGGGACCTTGTGCAGTCAACGATGCATGCTATCCGCGGTTGCATAATGCGATAGTTCCAGACGCATGCAACAGCAGCGATTGCTGGAACTGCGGTTTTAATACGCTGTCAGATTTTTCCTTCCTAAAGCCCTGCATTTCCTACCGTCTGATAGATGGTTACTGCGCCAGTTGCTCGTATTGGTCACCGTAGCTAAAACGATACTTTGTACTTCGTACAAAGGGAAAATAATTATAATATGAAATAGGAGAGATATTTCAGACATCGAGTTGACGCAAGAAATTGAACAATTTTCACATTTTGTAAAAAAAAAAATAATTTACTCTCTAGAAAATATTGGTATGGATTTAACATCATACAGTGTCTATATAATGCTCATTATATTGGTGTTAATATTAACATGATGTGGATTTCATACCATGGGTCCTAAATCTATATCGGGATTTTTTGGAGTTCAAATAATGCGTTTCTGTATAATTCTTGCTTATATCGCTGAAATAAAACATCAACTTGCGAGATTACATCCAATCGATGAATGATAAATAATTAAAACGTGTGAGATTTGATAGTGGCAGGAATTAAAGGGAAACATAATCCGCGGTAATACCACGAGCGCGTTGTTTCGTGAGAAATGGCGATTAATTTCTTCTCGTTCCCACGTGCCGATTGCCATTTATGACAGATAACTTGATTTAATAAAAATAACGCTAACCATGCACGCTTCATGCCAGAATGCCTGCGATCATCTGTTTAAGATGCTTCTGTTACGGAGATGCCGACAATAGCTTACATAATACTATGGTTATTTTCCGGTGAGGAAAGAAGAGTGTGCATCTCTCCTCGTTGAACTTTGGTTTATTATAACATAATATACCGAGAAATCGATTGCGTAACGTAAACCTTCGTCTGAGCTTATTGCAATATCGCACAACAAAAGAAAAGAATAACACATGTATTACGGGTTTCTAACGTTATTGCGCGATAATGTAATTATTGCGATTACAAAAATGATGTAATGATAATTCAAACAATGGATGGCTATAAAAGAATAAATGTCATTAAAATAAAAGATAGAGTAAGAAATGTCAATCATGTTTCTTTTACATTAATGCAATGAAAGGTTCAATCGAGAAAATTCTTGAATATGTCAGAGCCCATCATACGTTTGAAATATATAATCTTTTACATCATGTCTATTACATTTATATTTGACGTATGTTACGATAATATGTAGAAATAAAGCACGTGGCCCATTGTTCATTTAAAAATTTGATACTTTTCGGGACAAGCTAATTCAATTGGCACGTAGCTCGGCCTTGAAAAAAAAAGTGCAGTAATTGCTCCCTTGTGATGCCAAAGGTGGTGTACTTAGCAAAGTTAAGAGTTTAAAATTGCAGAGCGCGTCCATGGACAAACGGGAGAACGTCAATTTAGTAAAGTAATTAAATAAAGTAATCAAAAGGATTAAATCAAGCAGTTTGTGGCACAAAATAAAACAACAAGAAGACGGAGAGCACCGCGAGTGTACGTTTTTGATTATATATGTAGTATTTAATCTAAATCAAATGAAGAAAATGTCAAATACAATAACTTAATGCCTAATAATTTATAAAAATACGTATAAATAAACGTAATTATAAACGCACATATTATTGCGTTTATAATTATGTTTATTTTAATAAATTATTTTCACATTGTTATCCAGCGTTTGCTCGAATAGATATTAATTGATTGTATTGATTTATCTCAACTGAGCTTTAATACTTAATTTATTAATTATATTGTAAATACAATAACGTAAATTTTTGTCATGTATTGTACGAATGCGAGTTCTACCGATGCGGAACATGAGTTGGAATTTTTGCAGAATTCGCAGAAAAGTAAGTAAGTATGAATAAACGTATCCGCGTGTTTAAATCCGCACAGCGTATATCATTTAGCAAATGTTTGCAGTTTAAACAAGAAAGTAAAAAAATATTTTTTATTCGCGCATTTTCATATATATTTCGTGATTAAAACTGTTGTTTAAAAATTACCGAGATGGTGACGTTTAGACACACTTCAATTTCATTAAT